TCTAATTACTAGTGCATAAAAAAATATGAAAGGAAATAGATCAAAATAACGTTGGAATTGGACTATGGGCTTTTTTAGTATCTTGTATTTTCCAAATTATCTAAGATCATATATTACTTTGTAATCATGAAAAACAATTAAACTGTTTATAAAATAAAGAATTATACTGAATTAGATTCCATTAATTTTCAAATTTATATTTGGTATGAAAACTGATCCATGAGAGTAAAACAGTACTAGATTGAGAACAGATTTTCACTAACGTTTCAGACATTTCGTCGAATCTTACGTTCAACGCTATTTTCAAAGTGAATGGGGGAAAGAAGTGAGTCTTGAGTGTTGCTTAGTCCTTCTCTTAACTTATCTGAGGTTTTTCTAGGAATATAAAAGTCCCCAAAATGTCTTCCTCTGTGTGTGTGTGTGTGTGTGTATGTGTGTGCGCTCGCATGTGCATGCATGCAAGTGTGTTTGTCTGTAACTTCTACTGTCTTGTGGAAACTTTCTTATGGCTACTTCAATTGTTCAAAGTCAAGTTCCCTTTGCATGTAATTGTCACTACATAGAAGGACGCAGTCACATGGCATCTTCCTAAGGCTCCAAATCTCACTAACCCACAAGCAAGGAAGAAATCCACAAACCCCACTTCTACAGAACAAAAAGAAAGTGATAAATTGCACCTTTCAAGGGATTTTTGAATGAAGGAAGTTTTTCTCTACTAGAAGTTAATTTTCTCTTTCTTTGCTTATACTATAGAAACTAGTCGTTTTTTAGAAATCTGGCAAACCATACACACTGAAATTGTGGAGAGACCTAAATTAGATTCCACTATTGTTGTTTTTTTCATTTTCTGTTCTTTCTCTCTCTTCCCTCTTCTCCCTTCCTCCTTTTCTCCTTTCTGTCTTTTAGATTGAATTCCAAACTCCTTTGTTCCAATCCCTGTTTTTCTCACCCACCACTCTTCCTCAAACCTTTTCCTCATCCTTTCAGCTCCAGGTTGCCTTTCCATGTTTCGCAGTGAATGTCAATGTGCTGGGATGAGCATTGAAGAGGAGAGTCACTAAGAACCATGCTTTTAGAAGCTTATGTGTTTGAGAGCCTGTGAAATCCTCCCTGGCCTCAGAGATTTTAAATGGTTTCGATCTATATTTTCTGTGTCTTTTGTGCTTTTAAAGTTTCACATCCAATAGCCACATTTGTATCCAAAGCATGGATTTTTAGAGTTTGACAAAGCTGATCCCGCGGGTTCAATTTCCATAAATCCCTTAAAGTGTTTAACCAAGTTTTCTCGTTTTGAAAAAATATCCAACAAAAGCACAGGGGAAAGCAATTGTTCTTGACATCACAACAGTTTAATATGTTAACTTATTCATTAAATTGTGCTTCACGTCAATGGAAATCCTCAGTTCTACAAACTATCATTTTTAAATAGCAATAAGGGTTGATAATGTCACAATACAACCTCCTCGTACCCGAGTTCATATGTATTATTGCACAGAAACAAAAGGAAACATCTCTTAGGGGAAATAATTTACTATCTATTGAATAACTATCTTTACACTAAAATGGGGCACCAGATAGAAGTCCAGATTTTTTTTCCAACATTTTTCATCTCTGATACGGTAAATGAAAAATAATGCAAGCAAAACCCAGAAAGTACTTCTGGCGGAAAAAAAGAAAAGATGATCGTATGATTAAAAAAACGACAAGCGGGTGTAAGACAAACGTGACGAGACTAAATCACACAAACTCTGCTTCCTCGGGACGCGATTTTCCCCAGCAGAAACTGAGGTTTTTCAGCACTAACATCTGGCTCTTTGATGAGTTCCCACAGTGCAGAAGAACAGGTAACTCATGAAGGTTCCACTTAATGTGCCCAAGGATGACAGTGCAGTCTTTTCTACATACAGCACAGACTCAAGAAACATCTGCGCTCCTGCGTTCTCAGATCTGAGTTCTGTTACCTGGAGTCCCAGCCTGAATTTCAGGGGCTTTTGTCTTGCAGATGTTGCTGGTGTTCACAGCGAGGCCAGTTCTCTAGAAATCTAGGCACCTCTGCAACGCAGGTTGGTCCTGTCAAGGTGTGGTGAAGACGGGTCCATGTGCATTCCATCCACTAGGCTACAAAGCACACGGGTCTCAGAACCTGATCTCTTGCTCAGAAGGGCTAATTCAGTTTTAGGGAATTAGTTTAGATGTGTCCAAGGTGAATGTGGTGAGAGAATAGCTGGCTTATGTCCTGCAGAGATGGAGGAAGGGGATAAGAAGGAAGCCGAAAGTGCCTGGGAGAAAGACCCTTTGCACGCTCCTGAGAGGTGACACAACCAGGTAAAGTCATTGGACTCAGTCAGCCCTGATACCCAGCCTGGAGACTTTCAGATGGAGCTCTGGTGACCAGCTGAGGCACAGTAACTATGGGAAGGGGAAGCCTTAGAGACACAGTTGTGATCAGATCACAGTATTCTTTGCCTAAATCCGATTCAGCTTTCCCTTTGATTCAACTCCTCCAACTCAGTCAGCCTTTACTTTGGTCCCTAAAACCATTCCAATGCTCTGGTCCTGTCTCAGGAGCCTGATACCCTTTACTGCTCTTTTAAATGGCCAAAAGAATAACAGTCCACATGTCTCCAGCCTGCCCTTGTTCTTGAGGACAGAAACTGTGTATTAGTCATTTTTCTATTTTTTGATATTGCCTGGCAAATATTTAATTCCTCATCTTTCCACCTTTGTAAGACCCGCTCTCCTTTTAGAAGCCCTGCTTTCCTCTGTAGTTACCCCAGCTCTTCCTAACCCCCACCTCTGAGTGATCCCATTATACAGGACCTTCTTCTCAGCTACAGGTCATGGTTGGAGAGGAATCAGATACACTTTCTGTGTGAAGATGTTAGCTTATGACAGCTTAAAGCATTTTCTCTCTCTAGCAAATGTGCAAAGGGGCCCAATTAACACCAAATAAAACCTTCAAGAACAAAGCAATAAGTTGCTGATAACATTCCAGGGACCTGGGGAAGAAGTAGAGAGGAAGGGAGATTTTTTTGCACAGGGGTTCTATTGATCACATGCTAAGCTTCACTATTCAGGCTGCTACTGATTCTTATATTTCCAAAACTGAGCTTCCCTAAGGAGTTATGAGCACGTTCCCTCACCCTTCATTTTGAACAGTTTTTGGATCGGATGGGGTGGACATCCAGTTAGAGGTGTTGCGTGTCTCTGCTTCTCAATCTCCCCTGCAACATTGCCCATCTCTTGGACATTTCTCTTCTAATAAGAGGCTCCCTCAGTGGAGGTAGGGGGATTATGGGCCAACTCTACTCGTTTCCTTGGCATTTTCTAAGTCACTGAAGGTCCATGAGAAGGTAAGGGAAGGTAAAAAATCAATAAAGATTTAGATTTCACATTCTTGCAATTCCCAATCCCAATACTAACACTGAGCCGCATAAAGTATAGGAAAGGCTATAAAGTCAAAAGACTGATGCTCTGAGTAACTTTCTTGCTAGTAAACTAGAATCTTTGGGAAATCTTTCAACATCTCTGAATCTCCATGTCAAACTATCAAACGGGATAGTGAATAGAGGTCTTATTTAACACATAAAAATGTAGTGAAGACCAAATGAGATATTAAATGTACAAATGTTTTGAAAAGCATTAAATACCATACAAAGTTATGAATTTTTAATCTTATCCTTTGTAAAATATATGATGAAATAGACGACATTAAAAAACTGTTGAAATATTTTCAATTCCCTTTTGTGTCAGAGACTGTTAGTTTTTATCAGTATTAATTTTCACATTGCCTCTTTGATAATAGAACCCTCATATTTATCAAGGCACATGGCAACCATGAATAAAGACATTTCCTGGCCTTCTTTGCAGCTAGACGTAGCTAATGGCTAGGTTCTAGCCCATAAGATGTGACTAGAAGTGATATGTGCAACTTCCCACCATTTCCCATCTGCTGTCTTAAATGTAAATGAGATGGCAGGAGCTGCAGCACTCATCTTGGACCATGAGATGGAAAGTTGCACGGTAGGATAAAAGAGCAACAAAAGAGGGCCTGGGTTTCTGACAATGTCACATACTAGAGTTATCAAACCAGTTTGTCTCTTAAGCAAGAGAGCAATAGCTTGAACCTTAATGAAGTCACTGTTATTTTGAGTTTCTCTGTTAAAGCAGCCAAATGGGAATCCTGTCCAGCAGACGGATATTTATTTTTTAATGATCTATGCTCACCTCCTGGCTAGGTCTATCTAGTAGACTTTCTTCTCCATATTAATACTATCTCTATTCAGACTTTTGAACAAGTCCTCCTATTTCAAACCTTTTTTTTTTTTTTTTTAAAGATTGGCACCTGAGCTAACAACTAACTGTTGCCAATCTCCTTTTATTTTCTGCTTTTTCTCCCCAAATCCCCCAAGTACATAGCTGTATATTCTAGTTGTGGGTCCTTCCAGTTGTGGCATGTGGGACGCCACCTCAACGTGGCCTAACAAGCAGTGCCATGTCCGCACCCAGGATCCGAACCGGCGAAACCCTGGGCCGCCAAAGTGGAGCACACAAACTTAACCACTCAGCCACGGGGCTGGACCCTCAAACCTTTGATCAAACTATTTATGACAAAGTTATCTCCTTTAGGTAAGACAGACATTTTTATAATTTTTAAATAACACACATGATATCCCTAACCATTGCCTAACACTGATTGCTAATGTTATCAATTATTAGAGAGAATATCCAAATAATTCTCAGGGCAAGTTTTTCTCTCGTTACCAAGAGTAGGCTGCCAGAAAACTAGTAGGAGACAGAATAGACAGCAAGTATCTTAGTCCTTAAAAATAATTTAAATATATGTATACACACACGCAAGGACATCTCATCCCAATCTGGTTATTGGAGCTGCCATTGCCAAGAGAGGGGAAAGAATGTCTACTGGGAGACCTAGGAGCCAATAGGATGTGGAATTCCCTAGGGAATTTTTTTTTTTCTTTTGTTGCCTCTTCTTGGGCTTTTAACACTAATGTATCTGAAATTGATTTGGTTTGGGATCTTAAGACTGCTGACTTCCCAAAGATCCTTAGGTCCAGATGACTTCTGTTGGTCTCCCTTCCCCAAGCTTCACTCAGCATGTTGGTGTGCAGTCAATTTTCGGAGAACAAACAGCGTCCCTACCTTTTCATTTCTATCAACATGGGACCCCAGGGATATGACAAGCGTGCTGCTTTAGAATGAAATGATATGAGGGAGGAAGCCCGTGTAGGCCTTTTTAATTTGCTCAGCACTGGCCTCAGGCCAACACAAAGAGATAGTTTCTCCCCTGAACATCCTGATATCTGGTCTCAAGTGGAGTACCATACATGGTGCCTTCAGCGGCAAGGCTGTGGAAAGCCTTTTGCTATAAGTCCCGAAGTGCCTGAGGAACAGTGTGAAGCTAGCTGAGCCTGTCTCCAAGTCTCAGCTATGCATGAATTCCCTGCCAAAATTTAAAGTGAGTTTAAAAGAAACAATCCGAATGCTTGCTAACTTGTTTTGATTTTCCACATGACAAAACACTGGATTGTTATAGTATGTGTGTGTGTGTGTGTGTGTGTGTCACAGTGGCAGGCAGGAGGATAATTTGCAGCCCTGCCATTCTATGCAGAACATTAGATCCTAACAGAAATGTGAAGATAGAGAGCGAGCTGCTTACTAATCTCAGCTGTAATTCTCCTTCCCCCCACCTTAGGAACAAATCATCAGAGAGGGAAACACTAATATTTTGTGAGCTTAATCTCTACCAACCAACAAGAAATATTTACTTGGCCCTTTAACTCACCCTCATATGTGGCTCAAGAAGTACAATTGCCTAAAAAGTCATCAATCTCTCAGCTCATTGTTGGGTCAGTGACATGGAAAGGGCTGGATTTGCCCAAGGCAGCATGGCTCTGGGTCACTGCTGGCTTGGTGCTTTCACACTTGTTCCACTCAGATGGGTTGGAGATAAACCCTTCTGGACAATAACAGCTGGCTTCGTGCATGATTGGCAAGAAGTTTTGATCCCATATGGGAAATACGATGAAGTAAAAAGAGCTTGCACTTTGCAGTCAGTGAGACCTAGCTTACAATCCAAGAGGAACCTACCTACTGCCTGTGGGTTTCATTTTCTCATCTATGAAACTGAGACTAATAACATCTACCTTGTTGTGAATAGATTTAAGGTATGAAAAGGGCCTCCCACAGTTCCTGGCACAAGAGAGGTCCCCAATAATGCCTTCACTCTCATCACAGACGAGGCCAAGGGTAGTGAGAGAAGTACCTAAGCCGCTTCTTCAGATCTCTCTTTGATGAAGACACTGGGCTCCCCTCCGTGCAGGCAGGCACTCCGTGAATGCTTGTGGGTTGATCGACTCTCAACCCCAAAGAGAGTATTCTAAAGGCTGAGACGTGGCTTATGTAAAGCTGGCTTAAACATCAAACATGTTGGACATCAATGAAATAGGCTTTTCCATCTGATTTAGGGGTTTCACTCATTTTGCCTGCAGCTCCTTGAAGGGATTGATCAGATCAAGCATTTGTGATACTTCTACCCACTCTGATCCTCCTACTGGATGCTAGGCTAGGGCTCTCTATTCCTGTTTCCATACGTCTCCCTGTATTATTCAACAAACTTTGTGTTACTGTAGCTGTGACTGCAAAAAGGTGAAAATAAGAAACACTTGGCAACACAGCACATTTTTTGGTCCTGTTTTACATACTCAAGCTTGGTTTGCTCGCTATAGCCGCAGTCCCACAATAGCCAAAGTTCATGTAGGGAGAAAAACGTTATCAGGCTGGAGATAGTCAAGATGTCGGGAGGGAGAGTCTTTCTAAACTCCTAGGATGACTACCCAATTGAGTTCCATGTCTCTTGGCCTAAAGTAGAGTTATTATCTATTTAGCGACCTCTAATACGTTTTGTATACATGCTAGCTAAGCTCCTATTCTTCAGGTCAAATTCTTTTTAAACGTCTTTTCCTCTATGATAGCAGAATGTCAAACTTGGCAGGACCATACCCAAAATGACTGCTCCAAACAGGTAAAACTATGAAATAGTCCTTAAAAAACTAAGGTTCTGTAGCAGGTCTGGAAATGTTAGACATATAGTTATCCTCCCCTTAATTTATCATTCATTCCTTACATTGAAAATGAAAAGTGGTAAAGTGTGATCTCCTTAAGCATTAGTCAATAAGCACATTTTCTCCTAAATGCCCCTACCAGTGTTCATTTCTCAGGAGCCATAGGTGCCCCTGTCCTGAATCCACTAGCCATTTCCCTGAAAGATCGAGGAGGAAGCATGGATCAGGGCTAAGATGAGGGGCTTTGAAGGATGTGAGTCTCTGGTGATAGTCAATAGTAGGGTAATCTCATTTAAAAACAATTGCAATGACAAAACACATTACTCTACTCAGGACTGAAAGCACATTCCAATAGAGTTCAAAGATGAGAGCGAACAGCCAAGTGAGGGCTGGTATAAAACCTCATCTAAGGGCTGAAAAAGACTTCTTTTTCTCTCTCTTTAAATACACCAACATTTCCACTACAGAGACATTATGAAACAGACCCGTTTCAGCAGAACATCCAAGCCATACTTTGGCTTTTCATGTGTGCCTCTGTGGGTTCCAGTTGCTTCAAATATAACCTATGCTGCTGCAAAGGAGATTGCAAGGACTGTTTCCTTCTAGGTGCTTCTCTCTCCCTGACCTTCTAAAGTGGCCTAGATTGGATGCATTCCTACCCTACTTAATCTCATAGATTTAAAAACATCAGGAAAAAATGAACAAGACGGATCATCTCTGGCTGGATAAAGATGAAGACAAAGAGGAAGCAGGTTTCCAAATCAAGCAACATACAGCCAGATGTCCTCAGAATGGTCCAATGTTCTCCAAGGTAACACCACAGAAGGCCTGTGCACCTGCTCATCCTCCCCGTCCTGAGGGAGAAGAGGGCAGGGGGTCACCATCTCACCACCTGGCTGTTGTAGTCCTCAGTGACTGCCCCCTCTGTGTTCCCATCCTCCTTGGGCCACCGGTGGCCCCTGTGCTCCCGCTGCAGCCTCCGCTCCTCTCGCCTCTTTTGCCGGTGCCTCTGGTGCTCCAGTTGCTTGGTGTGGTGGTAGCGCTGCTGGAAGAGATCTTTTGCATACTCATAAAGCTGCATGTCCAGGAAGTTTAGCTCCTCTATGCGCTGGCGGGCACCCTCGTTGATCTCCACGTTGGAAGCCCGTGTGATGTTGAACTGCGTGAACGGGGAGATGAACTTGAGGTTGAATGTCCTCTCAAAGAGAAACTGTGTCTTCCTCTGGAATTCCGTGAGCCCAAAGAAGGCCATGTTCTTCAGGTTGTTTTTCGCGCTCTGCAAGAGGATGGTGTTTCTTTCACTCTCGTTCATGAAAGTCAAGTTGTAGCAGCCCACCAGGCTGAGGTCAGCTAGCATGCGCACTTGGCGGTTGTTGGCCAGGTTGTAGCTGCAGTCCATGAACTCCCGCAAGCTGACCCCAGACCAGTCGTCCCCAGGGTAGCAGGTAGGCAGTTCATCGGGGGTGGGACTTCTCCCATCACACATGTGGAGGGAAGTTTTCCATGTGGCCCCTCTCTGGACGTGTTTCCACTCGCTCAGGTAACGCGACACTGGATCCCGCAACATTGTGATGTAATAGAAATTCCTGGAAGAAATTAGAGGAAGAGTGTCAATTGTTGACAGCTATAACTCTAGGATTCTGGACCTCTGTGGTGTTTATATCAGCACTGAGTGAATGAGCTCTTCTGCCAGATGTTCATGTTAGAGCATTTGCCTGGATTTTCACCCATCAGACAAACGTTCCCACACGTACGTGTTTCCATAAACACTCGTGGACCAGTTTGCTATACCAAGTTTGCTGGGCTTTTCATCCCCACACCAGGGTGGGTAGGGACGCTGTGGTGGGATCGGATCATTCTTTCACTCAGCAGTTATTCACTGATTAAATTACTATCGGCAATAACAATACCTTATATTAAGAGAATACACCATGATTTTTGAAAGTTATTACACATCTGATGTTTTATTTGATTCTTACAACAAACTTTTGTAGCAGACATGGGACTATTTGATAAGGAAACATGCAAGGAGGTAAAGTGATTTACCCACAGTCGTGGGACTAGAAAGGGCAAAGCTGGAAGCCAATGCCCCTTAATCTTTTCTCTTTATTATATATATATATATATATATATATATATACATATACACACACACACACACACACATATGCTATTCTGGATTATGAGGTAGGTGGGGTTAGGGAAGGATATGTTGTATGTGGAAACTAAACCAACATTCGCTGAGCACCTACTATGTGCTAGGAACTGTGCTAAGTGCTTTATGGATACTAGCACAGATGGTCCTCAACATGACTTTATAAAGTGGGTTTTATTACTTTTTTTCAAAAAAGCTGAGAACACAGAGACTTAGAAAGGTGAAATATATAGCCCAAGATCCTAGAGCAAGTTAATACTTGCACTACATTCAAATCTAGGCCTATTTGGTTTCAGAATCCCTGTGCTTTCCTGTGCACCATAGTGGTATTTTAAAAACAAAAATGTAACTAATATTTATTGAGTGCCTATTAAGTGTCAGGTGCTTTAATTATTATTTTTACAGGTCTTATCTAATGACATGTTGTTGGAAAGTTGAGAAGAAAAATATTTTAATGATCAGGAAGAGATTGGGGTACGCCTGGCTTAAAAGGGCAAAAGAAAACAAGAAGAGAGCTGGAAAAGTGGACAGATAAAGACACAACAGTAAGCATTAGAAGAAAGCAAATATCGATTCAAAAATAAGAAAACCCCTCATCATTTGAGCATCTTACCAATGGAATGGGCTGTCCACCCCACTTCTGTCAGCAGGAGTGTTCAAGCAGGGCCTGGAAATCCTTTTGTCACAGAAGCCACAGAAAGGACCCTACTGAGGAACAGGTTGGACAAGAGGCCTCCAAGCTGTCTTCAGTTCCAAGAGCCTACTTTGTCCTTTTCTCCTTCCATGGGAGCCAATTTGATCCCAGTTTAATCCTAGTTCAGTCCTTGGTTCATTGAGGGGCCAGCTCCAGAAATATAAGGTCAGTATAAATGAACTCAAGAGTTCCCCTAGGCTAACAAATATGGTCCTCAAAAGTTCTGAAAAGAACACCAGGCTTCCCTGACACCTGTACAAATGACTAAAGTGCTGCTGAGAACTCTAGAGCCAAGGCTGGTGCTGGGTTGGACAGGGGCTCTGCCAGGTAGGCCTGAACATGACCCAATTATACAAGGTGAGAAGTACTTTTGTCCAAAGTGCCTGCCCTTAACCTGGCATCTAGAGGGCTGGGGCAAAGCTAGGTCATTTTTGCTTGATTCAGCTTAGTGTCTGCTCTTCAAAGAAACTTGACCACTAAAATAAATACACACACATGAGGATAGATGGATAGATGAATGGATGGATGGATGGATGATTAGAGAGAGAGAGAGAAATAATCTGTTGAGGAATGAATTTTTCTTATCACTGCATCATGTCATATTTTGTCAAATATCTGTTTTAACGAAGGGAGCCTTGTAGGTATTACTCACCTGAATCACCTATATGCTATTAGGGCATACATTTGCGGTTAAACATAAATGGTGATGTGTCTCATTCTATGTTTAAATCAAAGAGCATTTTAACTCTGCATGGAAAAACTGACCAAAAAACCTGGAGGAATTGGAAAGTCGCCACCTTTATTCTCAGAGCACTCCTCTCCACTGCTTGTTTAAGACAGAGGCTATCACATCAGAATACGTTCTAAGTTTGAAGAGAGCCAATTTGTCACCACACTTCAAAAATCAGCTTCAGGGGAAATTTTATTATTGCTTTGAAAGGAACAATGAGAGAGAAGAGGGAAAAGAAGACTATGTCACATTTTGAGTGTGTGTGGGAAGTAAGTGTCAATGGAGGTGATGAGAAGCTCAACAGAGAAGTTGAGTCAATGGAAAAGAACACATTCCCAATTCCCAAGGAAGAGAATCTGGCCTATAGAGGAGCTGAATAAATATACAAAAAAAAAAAAAACTAATTAATGAAGGTTTATTTTATCTTTAATGGAGATGCTTCATTCATTCAAGTCTAACTGATTGCTGCCTATACCATTTAAGAAAAAATATGTTTTTCAAGATTTGGGGGCAAAAGTTTTCTAACTTTGTTTTAAATTTCAATGATAACATTTTTATGTAGATAAACTCACCTAAACACTTGCATGCTAAATGCCTTCCCTGTTGACCAGACCCCAAGATCAATGATGTTACAAGCTTACTGTATGTCAGGCTCGATGCTAAGCGCATAGCCGATTTTAAGAATCCCATGAGGTAAGTGAACATCATTATTTCTTTTTTTCACTACGTGTTGAATAAACTTAAGATTTTGAGAGATGAAAATAAGCTGCCAAAGATCATACTGATAGTAAGTTACAGAACTTGAATTTAACCCAGGTTTGGCTTACTTCAAGAAGTACTCAGTCACTATATTATGAAGAAAAAAACCTCTTATTCCATGGGAAAAACTCAATCTAGTAGTACTTGCCTACTTGGCCAACCTAAACTAGATTTTTAAAAATGCATACCTTGTAAAAGCAATGAAAAAAATAAGGAATTTAAGGGTGCAGTGTTTTTATGCTGCTTTTTAAAATGAATTGATGAACTATAATATTTAAAACTATACATTTACTGTATTCAGTTATATTTAATGTTTAGCCAGACAGTTATGAAATGTGTTACAGAAACTTCAAAATCTTAAGTAACACTTGCTTCTCTTTAAATCAGGAGGAGGACTTTATTGAAATTGCCACAGACAGGCCAGCCTGATTCCTTGCTTGCCAACCACCATTTTACATTATTCTGTTGTCTTTCACTGTGACAGAATGACAATTCCATCAGTGGGAGAAAATTTCCCAAAAGGTCAGTAGGGAAAGCAGAAAATGACTGACACAGCTTCTGGGCTCTACAAGGAAACGGTGATGATAAAGTTTTGCTCAGAGTGGATGTTACTATAGTTGAAAATTATATAACATGCTGTCATTAACCCTACTTGAGTCCTATGTTGGAACTTCTTCACATTTCAATTCTACAAGCAGAGACTGAGTTTTATTTCACAAAACAATTGCGTAATAAATAGAGAAACAATAATAATGACAATGATATGTCAGGTGGGTTAAGGATACCAAACACACCAGGACAGAAGAATTTAAATCAGAGAAATCTTTGCATTGGGTCAAATAAGACCACAAATGGAAAATGTATAATTTCCCCGTTAATTGGACAAAACAGAAAACACACAAAAATATTTAAGTAGAAAATATGAATGATTATCAATTGGTAAGACTCAATCCCATTTATGTGTCTCATATTTAGACATGATCCATATTTTTAAAATAATCATAAGAGTTGGAGGATTTTAGGGTTGGGAATTACCATGGTTTGTGACATAAAGGTTAACTGGAACCTGCTCCTGGAATCTGAGAGGCTTTTGTCTTACTTGGGAAAACTGGCCACAGAGTTCCCAGTGCCTTTGTTCCATTAGAAATCCACATGGTCTCAAAGCTGACTGAAACTAGCCTGGCTTAGAATGGTCTTGGTTTCAAATTTAACTTTATTCAATTTAACATTGCATTTAACAATGACTAAACAAATTGAAGGGTAACATTTACATGAATAAAATAAGTCTCAAAAGTCTGCAAGCTCTCCTAGCCAAATAGGTAAGAGGTCAATTTGTAACTAAAACTCTGACATTAAGACATAAAAAGGTACTGGTGGAACATTTATGTTGACGAAGTACAAAGTTGTCCTTTCTTGTGGTTCTGGAACCGAGTGACTAGCAGCGTTTGGGTATTGCTTTAGTCAGGCATATTCTCACGTATGTTTGTTTCAATCCTGCAAAGCATTCAAAATAGAAAATTAGAAAAATAGTAAAAAGAAAATAATAGGGTTGAAGAAGACCCAACTATTGAAGGGAAAAAAACACTCAAAATTTGATTAATTAAATCATTTTTTCTCATCTCTATTTTTTTCTCTATTTTCATTTGCTTCTCTACTTTCAGAAAGAAAACTGAAAAAATCGTTGATGAAATGATATTTACCTCCAGGCCTCACACCCAATCTTCACTGTTTACAAGCTTTGCTCCAGTTTCATGAATCTCCTACCCACTCCAAAACAACAGAAACTCATTTTCTTCTGCTCCCATAACTCCCAATTCAGTTTCTAAGGGAAATACTTGAAGGTTTTAGTACTACTGAAATCTGCAACTTTGCTTTTTCGGCCTTCCTTGTTCAATAGCACAATGGAGTGTAAAACAAGGAATAGAAAAGAAGGACAAGCAGCTCTCAGCAGAGCCTGTTGTGGCCACAAGGCAGAGAACTTCATGAACTCCTTCTGTTCCTTTTAACTCAATCTTCTAAGCCTAGACAGTATCATCTGGTCGTCTATTTGTCCTTGCAGTTAACCAAAACTCTCCCCAGATTTTGGAAATAAAAATAAGTAAACTATTATTTTCCCCCCTCATCTATCCATTCAAGCAATAATTGAGTCCCCCTTGACCATCCGTATTTGCCAAGCACTGGGGCTAGGCAGTGGGGACTCAGAGATTACTAAGACATTGTCCTCAAGAGATCTCAGGTACCGAATGAT